AATAATCATATTCACACAAAGAAGACAAGTCCTTAGGTTTAGGCTTGCATGGAGTTTGTAGGTAAGTACCCTCTTGAAGTTTAGTTGGCTCAACCTGTCCTATAAATAGTAACCGGGTTCTAAGGGAACTCAATATCACTGACCTTTCTTTTAGGCATTGTCTCAGCTCAATCAATCTTTTCTTGCGGCCGAGATATCCCAAAAGTCTGGTCTCAATGAGTGTAGTATCGAGTATCAACCAATTTTCAGCTCTATACCAAAACCGGTTATCTCACTACGTCCTAATGGCAAAGCTTGTTCAATTAGGGTTCTAAAGTCAGTTAGTGCTTCATGACACCACTCAGCGGCCCCGTATTCTCCTTGATTCACCACGAGGGATACCGGTACCCATAAATGTGTCACACTAACGTAGCCATTGCTTCAACCATATCAGTCTATGCCGTACAGTTTCCACAATCTATTGCTACTTATCTAAAAAGGTGTCCCAGATTCGGGTGGAGGATCAAAGAAAGCCCAAACAGAGAACCATAATGTAAAGCATACAAATCAAACAAAAAAAGCAAGTAAATGTGATCTAACCCTAAGGTAACTCCACTTTAGTCGATCCCCAGCAGAGTCGTCAGTTCTGTGATACGGTGGAAGAACTGACTTGAAGGTTTTGCATTTTATCGCAAATGTTGCGGTTAGCAAGAGTCGCCACCGACTTTTCTTTTATCCAAAAGGAAAGGTGAAATAGCACAAGAAAGACCTTTGAGATTGTTTCTTGAGTTCGGGGGGTAGATTATGAAAAGGAAAGGTATTAGCATCCTTTTCATCCATGATTTTCCATGGACTCTTAGTTACTTGCTAGATCACTTGATTTTGTTTGAAATTGTGCTTTGTGTGGTTTTGAAAGTATTTTTGTAAAAGAGGCCTTTGTTTAGGCAATCTTTGTAATGATTCTCGTTCGTAAGAATGTATACAAAGATGTTTGTCTTTTTGAAAATGTTTTCAAGTTTGGAAAATGTTTTGAAATGTGTGTGTTTGTTTTGAAAATAGCAAGGATATTTGTTTGAAATGGATCAAGTAACCAAAAGTAATCTACCTACTCAAATGTCTTTCTCGTTCATTTTCTTTTCCTTTGATATTGTTGTCTTACCATTGATTTGGTAAACAACTCTATCTTTGGATGTAAACGGGACGGGCATGGGTCATCGTATGACTATGATTAGCAATGTTGCAAAGTATCTTAGCATTTTGAGGGACTAAGATCATTTTTGTAAGGCAACTTTGAATAGCGTCATCGAGGGACTACGATCTTGTTGTTTTTGTTTGCTAAGATACCTTACATGCGTAACATGGCCATTTTTTAGGAAACAAGTGGAGTTAACCTTAAGGGTGCATGTGTGAATAGTGTGTTTGATTTGCATGCATTTAATATTTGATTAGGATTATCTACTTACTGATTTTATGTCTTGCCATACAAACCCTAGTTACTAGCATTTATATTTGAAAGCGATAAATTGCGGAAATGTAAAGTCCTACACCGTTACAATCATTTGGGGATGGGGTGTACAAGTTTACAAATGGAGATTGCAAGAAATTAAAATCCTAATTATATATTACAACCATATTGAATAGCCATGAAAAAAATATATGAAGCATGTAAAAATAAGGAAAAATGAAAGGAAAAGAAAACATTTCGGATCATTATGTGTTGACACATGCCGTGAAATCAAGCTTCTCGAATGCACTTTTGCTTTGATGAAGTCTTTGATTCAAGCCCTTAGCAAATTTCAAGGTATAATGATAATACTTACCTTGAACTTAAGATATAGATGCTCAATGGTCAAAAGAAACATTTTATATTGTTCAACTCTTTATTCAAGTCTTTTCAAAGCAAAATTTTAATTTTAATTTGAGTACAATCGATTTGCATGTTAGTGCAATCGATTGGACGCTTCAGTTTTTCAAAACATGGCTAATGACTTCCAGTGCAATCGATTTGCATGGTTGTGCAATCGATTGCACAGTCAAATTTTTTGGAAATTTGTCTACTGGAACCCCGTGCAATCGATTTGCATGGTTGTGCAATCGATTGCACACTAAAAAAATTGGAAATTTGGCTACTGGAACCCCGTGCAATCGATTTGTATGGTTGTGCAATCGATTGCACACTGTATGATTTGAAAAACAGCTGCCTTACACCTGCCTGTTCATGATGTTATTTCATAGAAAACCTTTTACTCAATCTTGGCAATTGTTCATGATTTTTTACAAACCTTTTCTTCAAAGGTCACTGAATTTTAGCCTCAAAAATGAACCAAATGATGATGATTGAAATGAAGAGTTTAAAGTTAAGGAGACTTACCTTGCAGCTAGAATTTATGTTTTGAGCTTGAGGTGTTGCCTTGTGGACTGTTATGACCTTTTTCAGTTATGAGATTTTTGAGAGTTTGTCAACAAAACTTCTGGTTTTCTTTCTATTTTTTCCAACTTGTTCTAACCTTTTTCCAACCTTTTTCCCTTGCAAATACTTCTTTTATTTATAGGCAAGAGGTTTGTGCATATGAGCTGACTAAGTTTGCAAGACAGCATGTTATGGTTTGGTTGAATTGCAAAAATCAAACTATGTCAAGTATTCCATGGTTCCAAGATGAAGTATCAAAGTTGCTGGTATTGTGGAGCTACTTCCCATGATTTATGGTGGAGTATAATCAACAACAAGCAAGGTATGGACTTAAGATAAACTTTGTACCAAAAGGCTTGCTTTTCAAGAGTAGCAATGGTGTCTTTATGTCATAAATGGAAAGATCTTTTGGACAATGGCTCAAACACTTGGGTAACAGCTCAAAAGTGGATGTAAACATTAAATTATGTAGAGATTTGCAAGAAAGAAGGCCTGCAACATGAGATCATGCAGCATAGCATAAGGGTTTTGTTGTGTGTTCTTCAATCGAAGGACTTGCAAATCAAGGGTGGATGCCCAACTTCATGCCCTTGAATCTCCTAGCTCAAGTATGATAAATTCATGCTCTTGGATATTTTGAAAAGCTTGAAACATGCTCTATAACTTTCATGTTGGCCATTTTGACAAAATCATCTTGGAACTATGTGAAAAAATGCCAAGTTGGGATAAAATCCGGAACAAAATCTGTTGAAAATTTCTCTAAGTGTTAAATGAAAATGGCATGACTTCATGAATTTATAACTCAAAATTCAAGCACTTCTAGGAGAAGTTGTGTAAAGCAATGTTGTAGATATCACGGAGATCTACAAATTTCATGTTGAAAGTTTCCCTTGAATTGTCTTGCATCTTGGTGAAAGAATGGCATGAAGTGATGAAATTATCATGTGTAAGAACACTTAGAAAATTTCTAAGTCTTGGAAATCTTGACTTTTCAAGTTGACTTTTGACTTTCTTGATTTCTTGATGAAAAATCTTCATATCTCAACATGTCTTGATGAAATATGATTCTTGAAATTTGATTTTGATCCAAAAGTGAAAGTTTGACTTTTAAGTGTGCAATTGACCATTTTGTCCTTGTGCCAATTCCAAACATAAATTGATGTATCAGCGTTACAAACTTGATGTCATGAGAGATTTTGGGAGGAAATTCTTGAGAAGTGAGAGGGAAAATTTTGGAGTACAACACTATGAAATTTCGAGGCAGAATTCCTAGAGCCTTCATTAAACTAGGATACACGTGCAAGGCCATTAAAGCACGGACTATTAGAATACACCTTAAGAAAAGGTTGTGTGCAAGTTTGATGTCTGGGATAGAGTTCAAGACATTTGTGTCACTCTTGTTGAATTGGAATCATACTTGCTATGCAAAGGTTCAAGTCGTAGACACCTTTGTTTATGCATAATCTTAGAAACGTTTGACGTTACTTCTAAAATCAATTTTTTAAATTCAAGTGGGGGATTGTTGGAACATGTCCATGTCCCAATATGCTGAATTTAAAAATTTCTCAAGTCCCACATTGTTAGAATATCTTTTTGGTTGAAAAAACCATTTAGTCCCACACTGCTCATGTGAGAAATATTGACTAGCTTACTTCACTATATAAGGAGTGCACATGTTTCATTCCAAATCACACCAAAAACTATTCTATTAGTTTTTCCTTCCTCACTCTCATAACTATGCGTCTCTCGAATTGTCGAAGCGTCATCTTCTTCCCCTTTCTTCTTAGTCGTTGAATTTTTCGAATATTTTCTTGAACTCTCTTTAGAGAATTATGTTAATTTCTCCTCATTTGAGTTGAAAAATTTTCAAATTTAATCTTTTGGATTCTCTTTGGAGAATTATTCGAATTTCTCTTTGTTGGAGAAATTACTATGAGTGGCCAAATGACCACTATTAATTTCTCTTTGGAGAATTATTTGAGTTTCTTTTTGTTTGAGAAATTATTATGACTGGTCTTTGTACCAGATACTACGAGTGGTGTTGATACCATATTTGAATGGTCTTGTACCATCAGAGGGTGTATTTCTAGCGGTAGTTCGACTGCTTTGCATAATTTTGAGCAGCGAAACATCTTAAAGAGAGCGACCTAGTCCGCGACTCAACCTGATAATTTTTTCGGTGACAAATATTTCAAAACCCGAAAAGAACAATATATAATTAGTTGTTTTTGTTTCATATGTTTAAAACTTTCACCCAAGAAATTTATCAGTATAGGTTTAGGACCATGTTTAAAGCTATACAACCAGAATTTATAGCTAGTTATTTTCATTGTTTACAAGGATGACAATTAAGCTTGAATCAATAACCATATAGTAAGTTTTGAAGCTAGTTTACTCTTAAGCAGAAAAATGACTCCTGCCCTTTTTGTTTCATTCAAGTTCCATCAAGAAACATTAAATCTAGTTGATTTCAAACAAGTTTTTGATGGAATCAGCATTTACTTAATAGGTAATGTTGCAGTTACATGAGTGAACAAAATGTATAAAGCTTTTTCACATTTCCTCAATGAGATTTAGGTTCAAGCACCTAAGTTTCTCAAAAGCAGGATTATTACTCTTGAGAATCTTCAGTATCAACTATTCTTCTAGGACATGTCCTAACATTGTGTCCTTCTTTCTGGCACAATCGACAGATATATACTCGTCGAGAAGCCGTGTCTAATCTTTTATTCGAAACAACTTGTGGACATGTCCTTCTGTTATGGCCATATTGTTGACATATTTTACATCGATGATGTTTTATAACTCTCCCATCACTATGGCTTATCCTTAACTTACCACACGTTCTTTTGTTGTGGCCTTTCTCGCCGCATAGCCTGCAAGTGAACCGCCGATCAGTTAAACCGTCCTTGAGTTCCGGACAGTAGTGTCTCCTATGTCCTTCACGTCCACAGTTTTGACAGTAGAATTTCACTCCTGCATTAGAGTAGGAAAAAAGAGGTTCGTGAATTTGAAGTTCAACCATGCCTTTGTTTAAGATTCAAGTGGAAATAAATGAAAATGACCTTTCATGGCGATGCTCCTTTTCTGACGGTTTATTGGATCGCTGAAGAATGCATTCATAGTTTTGGAAGCATGCTTTCTAGCTGAAACGGTTCTCTTGGCTTTCTGCATCCATCAAAGAAAATATTCATGGTGAGATTTTTCAGTGTATAAGAAACTAATGTTTCAAATATTTGCATAATTTTTCGAAGATAAAACCTTAATAGCAACCACTCTCTGAGCCTGAAGAATTGGATCCTGGTGAATGATCTTCATCCGTTTGCTAAATAGACCGGTTTTGGCATTGAGACTCTGCATTCATTCAACTAAACAAACACATTCAAATTTGCATCCTCAACAACAGATATGAGAATCCTTTTCTTAGTTGTAACTATCCTCTATAGTGTTGAATTATGCCCAATCCAAATTTTAATATTTATCAATCAGTGAAGGGAACAGGTTAATGACCTCACTATCTAAAATTCATGTATCAGAAATAAGCATATTAAGGTTAAGCAGCCAAACTAACTTTTAAAGAACGACTAATCTTCAATCCAACTTCAGGAGATGGTGACTGGTAAACACGCTTAGATTTTTTCTTTGCATCTAGCTTTATGTCCAATTTGTCAACTTCATCGTCTTCCTTCACTTTGAGTGGCGATCTAAGAAAAATCATAAACAATAAAACCCGTGAAATATTTTATGGATGACTCAAAAATCATTAACATTGTGCATAATTTATATGGGAATTTTATGACATCATAAGAATAAGTTCAAACAGGTTTATCTTCGCGCCAAAAAAGATTTGTTGTAAAACATAACATCAATTCCAAAGAGTTAACAGAAGATAAAACAGTAAAGAAGGATGAAATTTAATTTTCAAGTGTTACATTGATTGAGCTCTCTCCCATGGCCGTTCATCGATTGATTCTTCCCATATAACACAATCTCCAGAGCACTGGTGGCAAGTCAGTAAACCCTGTTTACATGAAGACCGAAAAGGAAAAAAGGGTACAAATTAAATACCATGCTCTGTCATAGTGTCTCACAACTGCTATAAGTATAGCAAGAATGGGGAGTTTACTTTATATATGACGTCACAAAATATGCAAATTAACTTAAGAAACTGTCTTATACTCCCTCTAGTTTTAACAACAACAACCAAATCTTATATCACTAAACGAGGTCAGCTACATGGATCAAACGAGGCCATAATTTTCTACTCCCTCCGTCCCACAATGAGTGACCCATTTAGAATAAAATAGTGTCCTAAAATGAATGATCCATTTCAATTTTCAATACACTTTTTCCAATTCTACCCTGTTATTAATTAAACTATCATCAGTTCCAATACATGATTAGGGGTATTATAGTAAAAACATCATTCTCTCTCTTACTTTTCTACACTTTTCTTAATATGTGTGAAATGGTAGACTGGATCACTCATTATGAGACGGAGGGAGTATCATATTTCTATCCAACTCATTTATCTCTAAGTCTTTCTTAAAGATGTGGCAGAGAAGTTATATGTAAGAGCTTCAAAAACAATTGAGATGTAGAAGCTGATTACAACCTATAAAAGATTCCTACTGCTTAAAAAAATCGTATTCAATGTCAGATTCTTTTCATATATCTTCTTAGTGAAACGTTTATCCTTAATTTCAAGCTACCTTAGATAGTCAGAAACTTTAGGTATGTCTGGTACATGCATATACAGAAATTTGATGAACTAACCCAGACTTTTAGAGGCAATTTGGGTATTCATGGCACAAATGATCAGAGTCATTAAACCCTTCTAATAAAACCCCATGAATCATAGCAATAAAACAAATACGAACACCAGACACATCATAGACACATATACGTTTAGACCTATAATAATTTGAGAAACAAGAAGTGATTGTAGGAGATCAGATGTGTTAGTGTCGAACATCAATACATGTCAAACATTCGTACACACCTTCTATTTGAAATGTTAGTGGTACATAAACAAGACCAAATTGAAGCTATGCTTTAATCAATAAACAAATATAGTTGAAAAAGGAAAGTACCTTTCCATTACATTTTGGACAGTCTGATCTAGATCTCTCAATTCCACATTCTGTACAAGGAGTATAACCCCTTCCTCGACAACTTGGACAAGGTAGCTCTCTGATATATTGTCCATTTGGTCCAAACCATGACCTTGGTTCTCTTATATGCGAGTTCGCTTTCCTGAAATCAAATATTGTGAACCTTACCAACATTCAAAAATCTTAACGGAAACAATGAGATACTTATGAGGTATGAAACACAGACATCAAAAACACGAAAAACACACACAGACACTTACACGTCAACAACAGTAATAATTTGAAAAAATAAATAAATTAAACTTAATCACAAGTATCGGGGGTTAATTTAGCACGCCTATTTCTAGAGAGGTCGGAAACGAAAGAAAAAATAGAATAAAGAAATAAATAAAATTGAGACCTTGGCTTGAATTCCACCTCAAGTCCAAAGAGATCCTCTGGAGGACTATAACCAAACTGCAAAAAAAAAAACACAATCACATAATCCAAAATTGATAAAAATAAAAAGTAAAAATGAAAATGGAAAAAAGGGTGTGCCTGGGTTGATTTAGGGATGGAAAAGGAAGCATCGTTGAGTGATGAGCAGAGTAAGGTTGGTGCGGGAAGGGAAAGGAAGAGGTGAATGTTTAGTTGAGGTGGTTTTGTGCATGGGAATGTGAGAAAGCGAAAGGGAGGATGGAACATTTGAATCACTTGTTGTTGGAATTCATGAAGTTGGGGTGTGAAGATGAGGTTTGAGACTTGAGCTGGTTAGTGTAGGTGATATGTGTGGTCGCAAATAAGACATGGAAGGGGGTTGAACATGGTCATCTTGATAGCTAAAAAGTACTAATTTGAAATAGACAGGGACAATCGGGCCGAGTTGGAGACGGTTTTTATTTTTCTTTAAATTAAAATTCAAATTTTGTATCAATTTCTATTTTCCACCTCAAATTCAAATAGGAATGAAAAATTAAAACTCAATTCTATTTCATGCAGATTCGAATTGGGTTCGGTAATTCTCACTATTATTTATTTAATAAAATCAATTTTTTAAATTAAAATATTTATTTATTTTTTAAATTAAATTAAATTATAATTCATAAAATAAAACATTTTCATAAAATTTCATATATACATTTCAAATATTTTAAATAATAAATACAAATCAAATTATCAAAATATTGGTAACATATTCCTTCTGTTCCAAATTATAAGAGAAATTCACTTTTTAGATTCATTGAATAATTAATATATTTGATTTATATATAGACCAAATACATTAATTATTCAATGAATCTAAAAATTGAATTTTTCTTATAATTTAAGACGGAGAGAGTATTTAATAATTTAAATTATCAAAAATAAATAATAATGTATATAATGAAATAAATTGGACGGATTCAGAGTAGGTATTAGTATCTCTATTATCCAATTTGTCTCTATATTTTATAATCGGTGAAAATTCAAACTCGATCAAAACGGATTTTCCCCGTTAACTTTAGGGCGGATTCGGATGGATACTCGTAGACACATATTTTGTTGCCACGCCTCTAAGAACCAAATTGCAACTATTCAATTTTCATAATTATTTAATTTTGTTTTACTATATTATATTTTTTAAATTTAAAAATATTAATTATAGTTTTTATATTATTGTCAATTTTTAATAATATTTGACTATTTTTGTATTTATCTTTCTAAATCATGTATATAAATGATTGTGAAGTGGTGACTATATAAAAAAGTTCGTTCACTTCAGGTTAATAAAGAGAGGAATTGAAACAAACTCAGATAAGTGTCAAATTCTCATTGATATGAGAAGTTCTACCGATGTCAGAGAAGTCTAACAACTAATAGGTCGCTTCTCCACTCTATCTTGTTTACTTTCTTGTGTAATGACAAGATTTTTCTTTTTTATGTCGCCTTGAAAAAGAAGGAGAAGTTTGAATGGACTTGGGAATGCGATGAGGTGTTCTCAAGAATAAAAACCTTCCTCGAATCACCTTTTATCCTCACTTGCCCAAGAATTGGGTTGCCACTACTTCTTTACCTTTTAGTCACAAATCAGGCGATGAGTTCAGTACTCGTTCAAGAGACAAACAAGGCAGAACGTCTCATGTATTTGTAAGCAAAGTGTTCAAAAGTGTTGAGGCACGTTATCAAAAAATCGAGAAGCTAGCTTCGAACATCGTCGTCATGACGAGGAAACTCCCGCCCAATTTTCAAGGTCCCATAGGTCTCAAGAAGCCTGAACTAGCGGGAAGAAAGATGTCTTAGGCGGTAGAACTTACAGAGTATGACATTCAATATGTCCCAAGAGGAAGCATGAAATCCCAAGTTCTGGCATATTTTTTTGCAAAATTCAGTTTTCCAATAGACGAATAAACATCCTTAGAATGGGCATTGTCATTCGATGGTGCCTCAAACATTAAAGGGAACAGAGTCGAGATAATGTTGAAGATTTTGATGATATTGTTCGAAGCGAAGCAAGTTGGATGTTTCGTTGGAATAAAGCAAGATGTCATGGTTCGAAATGGTAGAAGCAGTGCTTCGAATGGACATGTCAAAGCTCGGAGCTTCGAGTGACAGTTATGGGGATATATTCAAAAGAAGTCTCGAAGTGGTAACAAGGTTGTGTCCAAGAAATGAGTTCGAAGCGAAGAGTTCCAAAACATTTGAAATTCAAACGCAAGCGGGATGTTCGAAATTTAAAATATATGCGCTGGAGCATTCGAAGACGCGTGGAAGCTAGAGAGGGGCAGTGTTCTGAATGTTCTGAACATGGCAGAATCTTATAGGCAAGACCGTTATGGTCGAAGTAGTATAAATAGAAGTCTTAGCGTTAGGATTTCGTGTGTCATATCTATTGTACAAAATTCAGTAAACATTCAAAATACCACATGGCTAGGGAAACGAATGCTCGAACAATGTACGTATGATAACACCAAATATTTATGATTCAGTAAAACTCTTTATCATTTCCAGTTTATCTTCTATCTTCATGTCAAATATCATTCCAAAGCCTTTACATTAAAATCTTTTCATTCAAAGTCATTTACTGATTTCTTACATTTGAAAGTCTTTCCTTCTATTTCGAGTACTTTACATTACAGAAACTCTTTTGCATTTCACGCTTTTATCTTCATGCTTTCATCATTCGAATATCTTTCCATTCAAAGTCATTTACTGATTTCTTGCATTTAAACGCTTTCTTTCTATTTCGAATCTTTTACATTTCAGGAACTCTTTTACATTACACGCTTTTATACTTCAAAGCTATTTACTTGTTTCTTGCAGTTTTACATGTCTTTACAATCGAACCTTTATTCATGCAATTTAGTTTCGCACGTCTTTACTTGATCATGTCATTAGATCTTTAATATGGTAATCGAAGTAAGTTGAACGCCTACGCAACATTCTAAATACCAACCATGAATATCAGTTCTACAATGAGAATTATCCAAATGACCAATACACCATAGGATCAATCTAGTCGATCCTGCAAGTTACCAGAGAGATTAAATAACAGTCATTAAGATTATTTGATAGTTTGGAGGTCTAGCGATTGTTTACCAGAAATCACTGTAAACAAAGGGTCATGCAACATACTGATCGAGCAAGCATTGAAATTTGAACTCAGAGCTTGCAACATCTAGGCTGGGTACAAAGCTCTCATAGATGGTATGGGCATCTCCCTATAAATGGGTGCCTCCAAATTAAAGGTAGAAAATAATTCCCAGTTATTTGCCAATCAAGTCGCCCGAGTGTACCAGACAAAAGAACCATAAGCTATAAGATATCTCTGCAAGGTAGGAAATTTATTCATACGCTTTAAGTCTTTTGAATTAAAGTACATGCCCAAGAAGCAAAACTTTAGAGCAAACCTTCTGTCTGAACTCGTTAGCACGAATACGACAGGGTACAATCGGACAATGATACAAGAGACTCTCGTTGCCCCTAATATGGAGCCAGATGAGATATGCACCCTAGAAATCACTCCAACTCAACTTGAATGTCGCATATACTATTGTTGTACCCCAAAATTTTCCCTCCCATTTTTTAAGACAATTTATTCAAGACACCTCCTCATGCTCCCAGGGTTCTCAATTGCTCAAGAATACTCAAGGGTTTAAGCATACAAGCACCTCTCCTAAGCAATTGACCTACAACTAGGGTCTTGTGTTTCTCAAAGAAAATTGAGCTCCTAATGCCTCAAATGGGTTCCATGATTCCTCATAGGATTCAAGGTACCCTCATGAAAAGTTTCAAGCTTTGCATCACAAGTTTGCTCAGTCAATTGCTCAGATGATTGAAAATCAACTATATTAGATAAAAAGTCAATTGTGGTTAACATACAGTTAAAACTCGAGATTTTTTGGTCAACATCAATATTTTGAACTCACATTCATCATTTAATCATGGGTTGATCATGATTCATCAAGATTGACTCAAGATTGCTCAAAAGTCAAAAGTTGCTAAATTAGGGTTTTGTGGACTTTTCTTAAGGAGAAGTCAACTGAACTTTGACCAAGTGTAACTTTCACATGCTTCATCATAAAATTCTCAACCAAAGACTATCTTGAAGTAAATTAAATTCTATACAACTTTGTCTCTCTAAGCTCAAGTTCAAAAATGCTTCACTTGAGAGATATGAATCAAAACATTACAGGTCATTTTAAAAGTCAACAAAAAGACATTTTTTTCAAGGCAATTTACATCAAGTTAAAGACTTCAAATGAAAAAGTGACCAACATGAGAGTTGTAGGGAACATCTTGAACTTTCCAAAAAGTCTAAGATCACCTTCATATAACAAAATTTGGGAGAGTTATGATTGATGCAAGTTGAGCAATTTTGAGAAAATGCATGAAACCACAATTGAGCAATTTTGGACTTTTAGGATAATGAGCCTAACTTTTGAAGTTCAAACGTGTTTATGACATGTTTAGAGACCCCTAAGTCCATTCATGCATTATTTTAATTTTTTATTTCATTTATTTTGATTTTATTCATTTAAATTCAAAATTAAATAAAATAAATATTAAATAAATGTACAAGGCATGTGGGCTTTTTTTTAGATTATTTTGAAGCCCGAGATCACATATCCAACATAACAAAACCGTGAGGGATGAAGAAGGAAAGAGATTTTCATGTTTTAGAAAGTTTTACAATTGTTTTGGAAACAAATAATGATTTTGATTGCACATGTTTCCTTCCAAGAATGTTAACTTAAAAAATCATCCATTATAAATAGAAGACACACTCTATAAGACAAAGACATGGATTGGCTGTCATAGAAACAAGTTCTCAAACACAAAATTTTCAAAGAATAGGTGTAAATCGTATCCCAATTTTCCAGACATTCTCAACTGAAACGAAACTTCAAATCATCATCCTGACATCCCCAGGAACCTCCTCAAGTTCATAAGCACGCTCAACCGTGCCCAGAACGCCTCCCCTCAATCACACCGGTGGTAAGGATTTTCGAAATTCAAAATTCTTAATCTTTGTGTTATTAATAAGTTTCATATGTTCAGATGTGTTAAACAAGAAACATAAAACATGTTGGAACCAAATGTGTGAAGAGAAGGGAGGGGGTTCGAACCCCAGCGATGCCAAAGCCCTTTTTGCTTTACTTTCTTCATTTTCCCTTTCTTTTTATTACTTATTTTATTATTAATTAACTTTTTTTTAATCAAAACTA